TAGCTCCTTTATTCTTTCATCAAGAATCATCATTTCATCCAGCAGACAACCAGCAATAATATCAGAATTATCATGAGCAAATTCCTCAAATTTATAATGTTTATTTAATAATACACAAACATCAGTCATAACCTGTAAAAAATCAACAGCATTAACAGCATATTCAGAGCATTGTTGATAAAAGAATTCTAATGCTCGACAATGACCACCAATATCACCAAGGCATCAATGAAAATGACTGTTTGTTTCAACTGGAAATTGCAATTCTTGTCCAATTTTTAACATGTGTTCCATCCTTAGTAATGGAAGAGAAATAGGTAAAGGAGGGTGTGTGGATTTTCTGACAATATCCTGCAAAGGCTTGTAAATAGTTCCAGCAAGCAGGGGAACATAAAATATTGAACTCAATGCACAACTATAAGAACCAACAACATTTACCATAGTCTTAAAAGTTGAATTATCTAATTCATATAATTTGTTGACTTCATCTATACAGTTAATAATCATTATCTTTTCTCTCTTAATGTCCAATGCAATAGCATTAAGCATTTTTAGCAAATTGAATTCATCAATATCAAGAAAGGTATTTTTTATGATATCAACAAAACCAGAAAATCCTAAATTAGGATATCCTTCCACAAAATATCGATAGAGAACCCTTAATGACAAAATTGCTTCACCACCAATATTACTATCTGTTGCAGAAGCAAGCACTACCATTCCCATATGTCACATCAATCAACACAGCATTATTTACCAGTTCTTTCAAATCAGAATCACTATCATTTTCTGCACACTGTTGCAACATATTCAAACTTTCTTCCAATACCCAAGTTTTCCCAGTACCAGGTCCTGCTGCAATGAATGGAATTGGATGAAAATTATGATCCTTAATTTTATTCTGGTGTGCATAATAACGTTTTTTAACACCATTTTTATTTAAAGTTCCATTCCAAAGCTGCTCTGCTGTTTCTTCTCTTCCAAGAAACTTGAAATCTTTTCCATATGTGGCTATAAGCTGTAACAGTAGAAACACAAAACATGGTAAATAAATTAGGATATCAATATGCAATACTGTATTAATTTACCTTTGGAGGAACTTCATTAGTTGGTCTTCTATATTTTTGAATCCATGACAAAATAAATTCAGGAGTAATGACATATATTTTTGAGAGGCTTTTGCAAGGGAGAGAAGATTATTAAGTCAGATAAGTCAATACAAAAAGAATGTATGGAGATGTTGTACGTGAAAATGAAATTATGTGAATTCGCAATTCACATATGTGAAATTCAAATTTACATATGTGAAATTCAAATTAGCCAATCAGAATTTCACCCCACTCCATAATATTTCAATTTCACATAATTTCAATTTCACATACAACAGAGACAAACAAATTAATACCACATCCAATATATAAGGTACTTGCCCTCACCAACTAATAGAAACAAAAGTGATCAAATATTAATGGTCATAGAAGTAAATCAATAATAATAAATAACAAAAGAAAAAAAATCCACAAGTTAGTTAAAAGTTGTAAATAAATAAAATGAAATGAATGGAAAATAATTTTTTGTATATTTTTTTTTATGCAATTTGTTCATTACTTTTCTTTTCTACCTCCCGAAACTTCTTACTCCACTCCAGCACCTTATCTCCCCACTTCACCTTCTCTTTCTCCAATCTTTTTTTTTCTTCTTTCAGCTCCTCCATTCCCCATCTTTTCTCAAACTTCTCCAAATTCTCCTCCTTCATAAATTCTTTTAAATTATTCACTCCATCTTCTAATCTTGCCTCTGCCTTGTTTAATTCAGTTTTAATTTCCTCTTTTGTTGTCATTTTTTAAAGATTAAAAATTACATTATATCGACCAATGATAAATTAGTGGCACATGACTTGGAATTTTACAACAAATTTTAAAAATATAAGTTAAATAATTGTCAGAGTACTTGCATGGGAGGAAAATACTCAGACTCAAGGCCATTTATAAGTATTACTATCACCTATTCTTTAGACACTGACAAAAATACAACCTTTGCTATTACTATTATCAATAATAATATTTATATCTTTATTGTTTTTATTATCTTCTTCAGCTTCATTCTCCATCTCTTTCTTCTTTTCTTTATTAACCCACTGTTGAATTGCTTCTATCTGATTTTCTTCTAGGATTTGTTTTTCGTTGGTAGAAGTTTTTTATTGTGGAAGCAGCAACACCCTTTTCCTCTGAAAGTAATCCATGAATTTCAATAGCCATTTTGCTGAATGAAAAATTTGGATTTAGTTTAGTCTTTTTGTCAAATAACTGTTAGAAATCCTTAACCTTTCCATAGATTTTTGATTACTTGTGAATATTTTTTATCGCCAGTAAGTTGGTTTATTTTATTTTTGAATTGACTTTTTCTTGGTTCCACTTTATCAATTATTTGATCAACTTTTTTGATTTATAATAGAGAGTTGATTTTTGTAAGTTTTATAGTGAAGTAAAAAACAAAGCAAGAGTCCAATCAACAATCCACAAAAAAGTTCACTATTAAAAGCAAGCATTTTTTAAAATGTTATTATGGATGAAAATACTGTAAATTGAAACATTTGTTATTTGATTTTTTTTACCTGAAAGCTAAGTGAATTGGTGATGTTTTATAAACACCCTTAAATGTAGAATTCATTGAAACAACTCAAATGATTGATAAGCAATGGAATAAGATGATCATTAATTACATTTGCATAAAGGTGAATTTTCTTCAGTAAAAAAAAATAATCAATATTGTAATAATAAGATTATTTTTCTTCTAAGGATTTCTGCTTTTTGTTGGGTAATAGTATATCTCCATTCTGTTTTCTTTTCTTAATGTTTATTATTTTTATTTCCTCTTGGCAAATTTCATAAGTAATCCTTTCTTTTCTTAAATAAGCTTCCAGTGTCTGAGTATCATTTATTTTGAAAATATAAGGACAATTTTTTCACCTTGTTTCTTTTTTAAAATACTTCTAATAGTACTATAATTCTTGGATACCATAGTAGACCTAATATAAATTAACTTCATATTAACTATTTTTATATAGAGGTGATTCTATATATCACCTAATATCAAGAGGAAGATTTTAATAATCACATTACTAAATTTTGATCCCTTAAATCTTTGGTATGGTGCAGATCATCTATAATCATTAATTGCTTATAGTAACAATTGGTCAACTTCAAAATACTAAAACAAAAAAAA